TGTAAGCATGAATATATGTATATACATACACAATGACCAGCAGTGTCATAGAAATATATAGGGTGATTACTGTTGTTGCAACTGGACTTCTCATTTATTTCTACGTGAGGGTTAAACTGTGGAAGATGTAAAGTCAGGATATGAAGAAATGCGATACAATGATTTCCTTTATACTATACGCAGATATTAATAAATATTTATCTGTGATTTCTGTTGTGGAAAATTATAATAAAAGTCTGAAATTTGTAGGGCTAGGAGGGCGAGTCAGAAGGCTATCTAAAATGCCGCTGTGAACTACTGTAATTGCGAATGGTGCTACTCAAACAGAGGGGGGAAGGAAAAGGTGATAGGATAAACACCATTTTCGTGACCGAAATAAATACATGAGGCATTACGTGGCAGTTGGCCTGTGTGCCCATGTGATATACAGACAAACTCCCTGGTTTCCAGGAGCAATCAGACAGAACTGACTTTGGCAAGGGGATCTTTCTGGCTCTCGTGCTGTGCACCTTGCCCAGAAAAGCTCTGACAACTTCATCCGCTTTCTGCATACCAAACTGCTCTAGTTTATCACAGTAAGTGCTACAAGTCCTTGAGCAGTTCTGGATTTCCTAGACGTGTCAATAAGCCGCTTCCATCCCAAAGGAAGAAGACATCTCCCAGAAGTATATAAACGGTTTGCGTGCACTGAGAAGCAGGGATCACTCAGGCCTCGGTTGTTTCCTATTTGTAGCCCCTTTGCAGCTCATCGGTTTAGTAACCTCGCAGGAGGCGGGTGAGTAGCAGCAACCCCCAGCCCAAGGTGGGGGGTCTCTGAGAGCGGCCTCACTCAACGCGCCAGACGGAGGTTGTGAAGTGCAGCCAGGCACAGCGGGCACGCCAAAGCCGGGCTGGCAAGTCCTTCCTCTGGGTAGTTTCTGAATGTTTGTAGATTGGGCCAGTGAAGCCTTCAGTAGCAAAAAATGCATTTCTGGACAAACTCCAATGTTTTCTGCATTTAAAGTTTAGCAGACTCGGCTATGAATATGCGTGTCAGGACATTGCCCATCATTAGGAAAAAATCATCACAGCTGTCATAGAAGTGGCGATTTTTTTGGTCCTTGGGTATCATGAGCTTGCACCCTGCCAGAAATTGCCTGGTTTGTTTCCTTACATTCAAAATGCTGTGCAATCTTCTTGATAAATTGATATGAGTGCCCTTAAATATTGGGGTTTTTAACATGCAGAATATGACTAGAAACTCTTAGTGTAGAGAAGAGTAATCTGTGAGAGTCTAAGCAACAGGAAATCAATGGGTTGATGGAATCCATGTCTGGGCTGGCAGGTCATCTGGCAAGCAGCCCTGTCAATAGTGCTCTGGCATCTCACGTGAACAAACGCTGACCAGAGAGAGTAAGAATCGTATGGTCATGCCAAAAAGCCATGTGGGAAGAAGAAAGATCTGATAAGACTGTTTCTAATATAGGAAAGAATTGAACTACATATCAAAGTCAAAACACATTATTAAAGATGGAATTCAGTTGACCTAACTTTGCAGTTTTATTTAGCAGTTAAGATGACGATATTATAATAACAATGCACGCTTTGAGAAGAAAATCTGCATGATGTTAGAAATGAAAAATACATAGAGCATAACAGAAGGAAATTTCAAAGGCATGAAGCAGAATTGGGCCCTTGTCATTTATTCCAGTGCAGACTTTGGAAGACAACTCAAAGAAATAATGAGTTTGGCTTGCTGCTCTGTCATAAGTGTTCTGGAGGTTTTGCCGCAAGCAAAGTGCGCACCAGTTTCATCTGCAATCATATACATTAAATGCATTGCAAACAATTTTGCTTATTTCAAGTATGCAAAATGCAAAGCTTGGTTTTTAGTCAAGCTTGTAAGGTCTCACCAGGAAGATGCTGTAATTTCTAAATTATTTCAAAGAAAATAAAAGATAAAAGTGTTGATGACCCTTGAAAAAATATTCGCATGCAAAATCCTGTGTTGAAAAGCTTTAAGGAGGTTTCAGAAAGCTTTAAGCAAATTGGGAAGGAGTTCCGAAACTGTTTCCAAACCATTTCACTCTGGAATACTTGATGGCATTTTTATTAGGTAAGCTGTCAGTCTAGTAAATAGACTTCATTCAGACAAATAATAGCATATTCATTTTTTTTGTTCGGAGACATTATTTTTAATAACAAAGGATCTTGTTTGCCAACTCTACCTCAAAGACTCCCACATCATCAGTAAACAGATAAGCCTTCAAAAATATGAATTTTTATTTTGATTTTCTTTTTCATGTAAGAAGTCAGTATTAGTCTCAAAATGTTATAAATTAAAAGTACCTACATAAGATTCAAGAAAGCCCTGTGGAGTTCTGGCCAGAAGGACAGAACTCAGACCTGCAGGACCCAGCCAGGGCCTGGCAAGACACCTTCTTGCCCTCTGTTCTGCTGTCCTCCTTTGGCCACTCCAAGAAGCAGGACGGTATTTTAAACTAGAACTCAAGACACGCAGATCAGCATCAGCTTAGGGTAACTATATCATAAATAGTTGGAGATGGTGGTTGTGCAATAACTGAAGGGATGTGCTGTTTGTCAGTTAGAAAAGGGACAGGGACCGAAGCAGACCCGTCGCTGCTCCCCAGCTTGGCCGGCGTCTGAGCAGCGCAGCTGTGGCAAGAGAGTTGTAAAGGCTGTTACAGAACCTGGTCCTATTAGTGAAGACAATCGTATGAAAACTGAAACACCTCAAAAAATGTTATATTTTGTTTTGGGAGAGAAAAAAAAGTAAGACTTCTAGGATATAATATTGCACTTGACTATTTTGAATATTAAAGAGGATGAGAATTGGAAATTTTCCATTTTCCTAGAGGCAGGAAATGCTGTAAGCATTTGAAAACTTGACACTGGGAAAGCGTTTTCTTGATGACAGCCTCATCTAAATATCCCAAACTTCTCCTTTTCTGTAGAAATGAATACAACGTGCTGAGAAATCAGGTATATATCCTGCATCTATTATTTGCTAAGGTCCAATCTTGAGCAGGAATCTAATTCTGAAACTAGAGGCACTGTGCACAGACATTTATTCTCCTGAGTTAATAAGGCTTCAAGCTGACTGTTTTTCCTGGCATCCCCTGTGGATTTACTGGTTCAGTCAGTCAAGAAGTCAGGTGAGTGTGTGTACTATCCTTCACTGTACAGACGCTGCTCATATTCAATGGGAAGAAATTTAAGTTTGCAGAACTGTAGTAATTCTTTCAGTCCAAACAGACAAATCGCTCAATACAAGTATGAAATGACATTCATTATTTAAAAAAACAATTATTTATATTGATCTTTTAAATCTGTTCACTTCCTCATCACTTTTTCTAGTAGTCAATTGCTCTGTAAAACTAACAATTCCTCACTGAAGAGCTGTTAAACAGAGACTATATTGCGAATAGTAACCAGCCAGGTTTGTTTTCTCCTGTTCCCCATCATTTTTGAACACTTTGAATTTGTTAGTAATTCAGTGCAGTATAAGTGACATGAGGAAAGGATGGTTCAAGCTTTCAAAACTGATATCTGAAGTTCTAATGTTTCTTTGCAGAGAAATTACTTTGATTTGTTCCCTATTCCCACCCCCCCAATGAATTTCAAAATGTCTTGCAGACATTTTGGTGGAAGTCAAATCCCTAAGGATAGTTACAAACTCCTCATGATCTGAAACACAACAAAAAGCAAGGCTCAGCAATGCTATTTTTAAAAAATTAATTATTTTCTGGGAATATATTGTATCAGTTTTCTATAACAATAAGTCGTTATGTTTTGATTTGGGTTTTAAGGGTTTGGGGTTTTTTTGTTTTGTTTTGGTTTGGTTTTTTAGCAAAGTAAGTTTTATTTTGTAAACACTTCCAAATCTTACATAATTTGCATTCCTTCCATGAATTTCAGGGGACTTTGAATTATACACTGGAGGACGAATGCTTTTTAAAACAATAATTCTGCAGAACAAGGTGGTCATGAGGATCATCTCATGAGTATCAGCAAACTACTGTGCACCCAGCTGTTTCAGTTACTTTATGCCTCAGGAGAGTACACAGTTGTGGTGTACAGGCAATGGTACATGTATCACAATATCCAGTTAATTTACTAATACATTTTCCAGATTTTATGGATCATTTCTTTCTGAAATACGTGGTCTAGTATTTAAGGCCACAAAATTGTAAAGTTATCAAGCTAAATTAAAAGATAGTGAGGTATAAATACAATGCAAGCTTTATATAAAAAAAATAAAAAGCAGTGCATATTCTTCCTATTCATGTCCCTTTGAATCTGAGAAGTTGTAGGGAATATGGAGCAGCATGCCTGAAATGGCTACTGTCTCAGTGGAAGGATATTCACTGCTTATATAAAGTGATAGCTTGGATCGTAGAGTAACTGCTCCACACCGCAGCCCATTTGGAGTGTGGGGAGGTAAGTGAAAGGCATGGAATGGAAAATGCTTTGCCAGCTCACAGTGATGTGAGGTCCCAGCAGGGACAGACAGTAGACAGCTGAAGTAAGCTAAAGCGGTTCATAACCAGCTTCAACTCAGGGCCTAAACCTGTCCCAGAATCCATGAGGGTCAGAGAAATGTGAGTTCTGAAAATGCTTTTTCTCCCTCCTTTACCCCACATCCACATGTTTGCACAAAAGAAAATGAAGTTTAGTTTGTACTTCATTTGATTTTGCTTAACATACCAAAAAGATAAAAAAACACATCACATCACTTTTGTGTGGCCAGTTTTCAGGTAGAAAGTCTTGATTACTTCTGTGGAAGAAATCTTTTGCAAGGGAGTGCTTTAATGAGAGTGAATATTAAAACATGCCCTTTTTAAAAAATTTCTGAAAATGCAGTCTATAAAGTAGTGAACAGTTTGCAATATCTGACCTCTTGGTCTTGTCGTTATCCTGATTTTTCAAATGTGAATTTTCTGAAATTTTACCTATATTAACGGTTTATTTGGTTTTCTTTTTTTATTTCCCATGTCCAGCGAAATGCTTCAGCAGAGAAAGAGAATCTTCACGTGGCCTCAAGAAAGGAAGAAAATCAGAGCATCCAGGAGTGCGATTCTCAAGATGTAAGTTTTGCTCACCTAGAAATCAGGGTCTAATCTGGATTGTATGAAAACGTTAATACCTTAGGCATTTATTGATGTGACTTTTCCCAGTCAAGCTGGTACATACATTTTATAAGCCATCTATATTCTTCATTAAAGTGCTGAGGAGCAAATACTCTTTGCTGTCAATCTATGCAGGTATACTCTCCAGGTTTCTTTCAAAGGCTGCTTAATAGAACTTGTTAGAGCGGTGGAAAAGATGTGATGTGATGTTTAACCATTTCAAGAATTGGCGTGTTCCTGGTTGAAGAGCTGCTGCATTACAGCACGATGCAGAACCTTGTTTATATATTGTTTCCGCTAATAACCAGGCAGAGCTGTCACCGATGCTTCATTTGATAAAACAAAACCTTCAGGGAGATGCAAGAGGTGACAGCATAATAGTTGAAAGTATGTAATCTCGTCTACTGCCAGTCTAGGAAAGCCGCAAGCTGTGTTTTTCTCATGACATGTCTGACAGAAAGCTAAATCTGCTGCTTTTAGTGAGGCAAAACTTTCATTCAAACAGCCTGGTGGGAGCTGTTAACAGCAATCCCCAACGCGAGTGTTATGGGTGCAATTAGAACAACACTAATAAAACAGGAAAACAAAGAAAAAAATGAGAGACAAAATTTGTTGAATACCTTGACTAATTTGCAGATGAAATGTAGAAGGCGGCAGGAAAAAGCTCTTGAATGAACTACCGAGCCCATTGCCTGCCTCCAGATATAACCAGCTCCCCAGGAGGTAACTGAGCAGCTTGCTGGTAGCGATGACGGCAATGTGTAGCAGTGCGAAGAAAAGTTTGGAAAACAAATCCTAGATAATTCAGTATCCAACAAATTGTACAAAGCTTAACATTTTTTCCATGTATTAGAAATATGTCGCTAGTTTTATTAATTATCAATTAGAAGTGACTTTCCCTCTGTCACATGCTCTAGAGGGGGGCAGAGACAAGGAGAAATTGCATATCCAGAAGAGCGCAGTATTTGCTGTTGCACCTTTCTTAATGTAGAAGGACGAAGGAAACTTCAATTCTTACTAGTAAAAATCAAAAAAGGAGAAGAATAAGATGTAAAATTCTGAAGTCAGAGTGAGCTCCATTTAGATTACGACTAGAGATTGGTTACCACCTGCAAAAGTTAGGGAAAGCTTGATGGAATGTAGGTTACTTTAGGTAGAGACTGAATTTATTTAGGCTGGGTATTTGTGGAAAGAGGTTCAAGCAACTTTTTTTTTACAGAAGTAAATACATTAAAGCAGAGAGGAAAAAAAGTCCTTAAAGCGTTTCACAAATCAAGAAATATTTAGTTTCTATAGCAAGAAATTCAATGAAAGACACCTGAAAGATATACTTTTCCATGAAATTGTGGAAGTAGTGGCTCTGATTAGGGGCGGTGGTGGCTTTTCGTGCTTCTAGCAACTAGTATTTTTAGCCATTTAGTCAGCATGGTATGCTGCTTGGTATGAAAAATTTTTCTGAGAAAGCAGAGGACAACTCCAACTGGAGTTAGAAATCTTGAGGAGTCTACCTGTTTTTTGTGATTCAAGTTAAATTAAATTCTAACCCTGTTCCCTGCTTTCATCTAAGTAGCATTATAATTCAAAGAAAAAGAAATTAGGCTATACACCTAAATTTGAGTAATAGGATTAAGTTTTATAGCATTTAATCTCTCAATTATCATACATTAAGACTAGTGGTATATTCTATGGGACTCACATTTCCTTTAAATTTTATATCTTTAAGGTTTGTTAAATCTGTATTTGCCAAAACCTCCTGTAGGGAAGAAAAAGTAGTAAAATTACAGAAAGTATACCATAGGGGTATTCAGATTCACTGTGCCTTGCTAGATAGTGTTCCTCATTGGAAAATTAAGCAAGTGATAGTTTTATCAGTCCTATCTTGCTTTTAAACATATTGCTAGAAATTAATTTTCCAACTGAAAAATGGGCACATTATGGAATATTCACAGTTTCATTCTGTTCATATTAAAATAAAAGTCAATCTAGGATTCACACTAATACACAAAAAGGCGTCTATGAAGTCTCTGTGCTACGCTTGCAGTGTCTGTTGAAGGAATGGCTTTCAGAGCCAAGTTACAAAAAAGATTACTAAGGCAGCCACACCTCCAAGCTAGGACGCCACAAATAGTTTGGTATTTATCCGAATTAGAAACAGAATCTCGTGTGTCATTAAAAAGCTTAGATACAGGAAGATGTGTTCTTCTTACATTACGTGAGACTTTTAAGGTATATATTTTTTTATTTATTTCCATGTTCAATTGGAAATAAAAAGTGTTCAGTTTGCTTTTTGTTAATACAAACACAATTGGTTGATATGATTCAAAGAGAATTCCAGGAGTTAGCAATACAGAGCCAGGAGCTATTCTGAGGAGCAGCAACCTGTGCAGTGAAGCAGCATGGCCTCGGGCATGCCAAACCGCAACAGTCCCATCCTAAAAGTGAAAGAGTAGATCTACGCTATAGCTAAGAGAATGCACAATATCCATAATATTTTAGAGAAATATTTCTTTAAAAGTAGTGGCTGCACTCAAAGTACTGTATCTTCTTGCCAGAGGGGCATTAAGTTATTCTTCTCTCAGAGAATTTTCTCCCTTTCTATACTACCATCCCCACACTGACCCATGAAGCTTTATGAGAAATCCATCCGCACTTCCAGGATTCCACCCTTCAGTTTTCGACACCAGGTCATTTGGAGCCCATCATGGGAGAATAAAACATCCCAGTTTGGCAGAATCCCTTTATTTTGCTTTAAACACTACACAGACTTCAATTATAAAAATGGGAAAGTTTTCTTGTATACCCAAGGATTGATTAAAGAAAGGCCGTAAAATTTTCAAAGAGAACCAAAGCATTAAAACACATTTTCACAACTGTCCCAACTATTTCACAAGTCTAAGGACCTACCTTGACCACGTCTTGTCCTGTGGGTTGCTCACAGTGATGAGCAAAGTAATCTTCCTGGTTGTTGTGTAAGTCGTAACTTATTTTCTTTCTCTTACACACACTGTCTGCCTGAACGTGGACCACATGGGACAAAATAACTTTGCAGATGATGACTTTGGGCTAGCAACCTCTTCCCACCTTTTATTTTTTTTTTTTATATCTTGTGTTAACTAATTATATTTTTTGAGACAAGGAAGAATTCAAATTAATTTGTGAAGTGAACTGAAAATATCTCTTTCTACAATTAACCCTCATGACTTTAGAGATGCCACCTTAAATCCTGAAAGAACTAGAATCAGATTATTTTCATAAAGGATCATTTTACTTCAATAGTACAAAGCTGTGATTTGTACCTGTGAATACTATCACTCTGAGAAAATTCCAGACTCAGGAATATATTAGAGTTTTTCCTTGTAATTTTATCATTATTTAGTTGGGTATGTGTGTTTTTATCAGAAGTTTTTACAGCTGTTAAACCCCCAAAGAGGGAAGTATAGACTGGATGACAGACTCTCATGTGCCATTTGTTTAAGAAAAATAAATGAAAGTTGATGCCAAGATAAAAGACCAGGGCCTTAATGAATATGCTTTAAACTGGGATGCTGCTTAGAAACCTCCTAATTCAGCAACACTTTCTCAGAGCTTTGCAAAGATCCTCTGATTGTCTCTCTGATAAACAAAAATGTGATTTATGTTTGAGAAGAATTACTGTAGTAAAGACTGACTAGAGAAGAACATGCAATGTTTCAGTTTTTAGGGCAAGAAATAAAGGGAAAATGCTGGTTGTTGGTCTCAATCAATACTTTTTCATCTGTATGGCTAAGCATCCCTCTCACAAATCTGTAATCCCACTGCAATGTTTTTCTGTATGGTTTTATACATGTTCATAGTAATTGCTGTAGTTTACATTGGAATTAATATAAATTAAATGTTGTTTACAAATGGGATACAGGCAGGAAAATTATATTAGCTGAATTTGAAATTAGATACTGCTGACACTTTTGTTGTCATGAAATTTGACATGTGACCTGTAGTAGCCAGAGGTAGGCAAGATATCCTGTAACACAACATCTCATTTTTTTCAAATCGTCTGAAATTTTTCAAAGACTAAAGAAATCTTAACTTCGGTTTTCTTTTAAAAGTTTCCATTAATTAGGTCATTATTATTTTATTAGAGAAATTTTGTCAATACTATTTTTTTCTTAGTCCTGTCCTTGTTTTCCCTACAACTGGCTCCTGAAAGTCTTTGTGCAGAACCAAGTTCTGCGGAGCTCTTTTACCTCTTCCCAAAAGGTTTTGGGAGATTTCTTTTGCTTGTACGCCAAAATGTACTTTGCCCCTTTTTCATATAAAATAACTCTCACATGTGTAACACATTGTTTAAAACCACCTATTTGGTAGTGCCAAAATATCAAACAGTTTATAAAGTGTTTCTTTGTTCTCTGTTCTCATCTTAGATTTCTTGCTCTTTGTCCTTGTAGAGTCTTCTCTGATAAATAAAAGTGATAGTAGTTTTATTTACTGCCTTAATTTCTTGCAGTAAACAAACATTGCATGTTCATTAATCATTCAGTGACAAAGGACACTGAGTATTGGAGCAAAACTTGTAGTGTTTCTAAGCAACCACAGCATTTTGCTTCATTTTTCTCTATCAGTTTCAATTGCAGAGCTCTGATCGCATTGTACTCTCCCATCCCTTTCCCAAGCGACTAATGAGAGAAAAAGGAAATCATCATTGTAACTAAATTTTCAACCTGATAAAATCCTTAAAGTGAATTCAGTAATTCCATTCCCTAAATGGGGCCTGTGAAGATCATAAGAAGTCACATCATCTTAGTTTAACCGTCCGCTCAGTACCTTGTCCTCTAAAACAGGAGAGGGGTATGAAGAACTGCAGAGGTGTCTTAGGAAAACGTATACGCACGCTTCACATACATCCTGCTCCATATCTTTCTTCTGAACAGTGAGGGTCAAAGGAGATTGAAATACAGTTCCGTTATAAATTCATGAGCAGA